AGAGAGATCACAAGTAGGCAGAGAGGCAGACAGAGGCTGGCGGGGGGGGGGGGGGGGGGGGGGGGTGTTTGTAAGCAGGCTACCTGCCGAGCAGAGAGCCCTATGTGGGGCTCAATCCCAGGACCCTGGGATCATGACCTGAGCCGAAGGCAGAAGCTTAACTTAACACTGAGCCACCCAGGTGCCCTGTTTCTTAAATTTCAAATAGAAGTATTACCTGAGTCATAGTTGGCAATGTCTTCTTTTTCTTCAGTATAATTTGAGGGCTTTATATGTTAGAATATAAACATTCAATATAATTTGACTTGTAAATTCAAGCATTTTATACTTTTTGCCATCTAAAGTCATTTGGCCTGTATGTGAGGAGGAATGGGACGGAGGGAGAGAGGACATTACTCCTAGGATAGGAAAGGGAACTCTTTACTTCCCTCTAAGGAGTAGAGATTAAGTTAACATGAATTTTGAAACTAACCATCACTGCTCTGAGGAGGCTTATTTAAATTTTCTCTTATAAAGTTTTGCAATCCTATTTTAATGGAGGCTTATCCTGGTGCAGCATTAATAGATTTGATACAGTCAAAAAGAAAATAGGACTTAATACATGGAGACAAAAAGGGGTGGGAACAGAAAGTTTAGGACTATAGGAACAAAAGGAGACAGAGAGAAAACTGCCAGAAACTGAGCCTGGAAAATAGTCTGAAGAACAGACTTGGAAGGTTTCAGGCAAGTTTCTTTCTTGAAAGAAACCCCTGCAATAAATGGAATTTCCGGTAGGGTTCAATTGATTTACATCAGTTGGCTTGGATTTATGAGTGTGGGAACTTTCTTGGAATTTTAACAAGAATTCTTCTGTAGCCTATTTTGCCCAGCAAGATTACACCAGACCAAGTCATGGATCTTTGCAACTGAAGTCCACTTCAGTTCAGGGGGGCCTCCACTCCACACAAACACAAATCTCAGCAACGCTCTTGGGACAGTCAAAACGCCAAGGACATTACTGAGTGCCTACAACAAATGATAAGAAGAAACTATGGAATTCTTAGCAGCTTAGCTGCAGTACATCTGAGAGCACCCCTGCCAGTTCCTATCCTAATTAGGAATCTGCTGCAAACATTAGAAAATTTTGCCCATCTTCATGGTTTTCAAGTACCAAGTATGTGGATTTATTTGCAGTAAGGTAGTGGAGGGCATCATTGAACAAAGAGAAATGAAGCTTGTTCATATATTGAGCGAAATAGATTGGGTATACCTTTTCACATTAACCAAATTGAGGAAAAATAAATTGTCACAACCAGAAGGTAAAAAGCGCTAATGAAGTAACTGCCTGGAATGTCGTCACTCTGAAATCATAGGCAGTATGATCACTTCCAGTAATGGCAGTAGGGCCAACAGATCAAAACAGAAACAAAACAAAAGTTTAATTTGAAAAAAGGGTTAGTTTTTAATTGATAAAAAGAAAACTTGAAAATATGCCAAACTGAAGTCAAATGAATGTAATTTTAATAGGAGCCCTAAAATTCAGAGGTCAGGTTAGATCTGTATGAAAGGGGAAAGAGGTTATTTTTAAAACTAATTTAAACATGAGGCTAAGGAATAGAGGTACCATAGTGTGCCTTTGTCTTTTGAAGCTGTATGTATGTTGGTTTTTCACAAAATTGCTAAAATTGAAAATAGCACATCTGTCACCTGTGGTTTTTTTTAATAAGCAACCCCCTTTGATAACTTTTTTCTGCATTGATCAAATCAATCATCTGATTTTTTTTTTTTAATTTGACAGAGTCACAAGTAGGCAGAGAGGCAGGCAGAGAGAGAGAGGAGGAGGAGGAAGCAGGCTCCCCACTGAGCAGAGAGCCTGATGCGGGGCTCGATCCCAGAATCCTGGAATCATGACCTGAGCCGAAGGAGGAGGCTTTAACCCACTGAGCCACCCAGCTGCTCCCTGACCATTTTTTTTTTTAATGAAAATTTATTCTGAAAGTAATCCACACCTGACATAGATTTCTACAAAAAGCATTAATCAGTGTCACAGGTGAGTGAACTGTGGAATTACAGGTTTTACAGATGGTCCCCTTGTTTCTGTACTTCAGTTAAGGAAGTCCCTGGCTTAGAGCACATGAAGTTCAAGCCAGAACAGCAGACAAAATACCTAAACCATCAGAAATTCAACAGTGTTAACCTTGAAATCTGTACTGATCCATGCATAATTCCACTGGGACATTTTCTTTCACTAAAGTTCGAGACAACATGGCTTGAACACCAAATTATCTTAGTTTGGGCAAGTGTGTTGGCCAGGCACTAGGCCAAGGGCCAGGCCTTAGGCAAAAGTCTCTTTTGGCATTAAAAACAGGTTATTTGTAGCTCTCCTGGTCTCAGATTTGGGCAACTGAAAAAAATTTTTTTTTTACATCAAGACATAAAAAGTTTATTTTGGGGGCACCTGACTGACTCAGTCAGTAGAGCACGCGACCCTTGATATCAGAGTTTTGCGTTCAGCCCCACCCATGTTGGGTGTAGAGATGACTTAAAAATAAAATTAAAGTTTCTTTTGGAGGGAAATGATTGGCAAGAAAGCAATGACAATCATTTTACCTTTCCAATAACTTGGTCCCAAAATAGATTCAATTCTCTCCAGATTGCTATAGATTGGAACTAGCTATAGATGTAATAGTAGTAACTTTTCTTAGATTATGGCTGGAGTCTCTAACACAGGCTCTTTACTGGAAAGGGAGGTATAGACCTTAATCCCAAAATACCATTTTAATAAGGAGAAGGCAATTCTTAAGTAGCCACTGCCCAGTCTGTAACACAGTCCTCATCTTCTAATGGTCATTTTCTGTGCTTATCAGGAATAGGCACCTGCCTCTTAGAGCTTCATCTCTCCAACATTAGTACATTAGGAGCCCTAAATCCTGTAATTGTAATTGTAATGAGACATTTACTTAATTGTAATGAGACATTACTACTAAATCCCACTCGTAAGAAGCAAGGGCTGTGCATGGTTGTTTAAATCTTTTTGTTTGAATCTTGGTCATTAAAGAAAAGTTAACTGACGCATGTAGACCTAAAAACTAAAACTAAATATGCTTACTTCTAATAAGTACAAAGTAATCTAACTTTCTTACTAAAAAAGATGTGTTTGAAACCAAATTTGGTTCTAAACAATTGCCAGTGTGATTACAATTCCACCTTTCCCAAAGTAAGATAATCCCAGTGACAATCATTAGAAAATTTCTTTCAGTTTTATTGAGATATAATTGACATACAGCACTGTGTAAGCTTAAACAGCACACCATAATAACTTACATATACTGCAAAATGATAACCACAATGAGTTGTCAACCTACCCTCCTATATAGATACCCAGAAAAAGGTATTTTTCCTTATGATGAGAACTTCTGGGATCCATTCTCAGTAACTTTCAAGAACTTTCAGGATCCACTCTCTTCGCAGCTTTCAAGGTTACCATACAGCAGGTATCAATCATAGTCGTCATGTTGTACATTATATCCCTAGTATGTATATTTCTCATAACTTGAAGTTTGTATCTTTTGATCTCCTTCATCCAATCCACCCCCCCCCAGCCCCAGGAAATTTCTTATATAGGGTCCAACATAATGAGTGAAGTTAAAAAATCTAAATTTCTGTGGGTGGGTATGTACATGTACCCTCATCTTTATCAGAGCACCCCATAGCACAGCTCCCTGGAGGAAGAATACACTTTACAAAGCCCTTATGGTTTTTATATCCCCAGCATCAGACTTGACCTACTGTGCCAAAAAAATTAACTTATAACCTACATATTTTTCAACATTTATTATCTAGTTTGTTTTTGTTTTTTGTTTTCTTGTACAATCAAAAAATTATGGCACTTTAAAACCTTACAACAATTTCTTCATTATTGATAGTTAAATATGTTTAAAATTATAATTTCTAAAAATTTCTAGATAACATTTTATTCAAAATTGTAATATCATTAATTGGCACAATTTTGCCACCTGCTGGCCTTAAGATTATGTTCATTTTCAGCTACTTTGATTTCATTTCAATTATTTTATCATAAACGTCAACCCAACAGTATATATACACACAAACATGTTTAAAATTTATACAGATAGGGGTGCCTGGGTGGCTCAGTGGTTAAGCCTCTGCCTTTGGCTCAGATCACCATCTCAGGGTCCTGGGATCAAGCCCGGCATCAGGCTTTCTGCTCAGCAGGGAGCCTGCTTCCCCCTCTCTCTCTCTGCCTCTCTGCCTACTTGTGAACTCTCTCTCTGCCAAATAAATAAAACCTTTAAAAAAATAAAATGAAATAAAATTTATACAAATACACAGTATTCTTCTGTAAACTTTCTGTTCTTATCCCGGGTGAGTTGGTTGGTTGTTTTTGTCTTCTCTGACAAAGGACACCAGCCTTCATATAATCCTTATGTGCAGACACACACCCCACACAAACTCTGTATCTAAGTGTGATTTTGATCATTGTAAAGTACACATAAAAGTATTCTTACACACTTAAGGATAATTATTCAGTTACTTCTTATAAATTAAGTTGATTTTTCTCTTACTCAACAAAGGTAATGTCTGTTCTAGGTTGGATTCATAATGAGATGCTGTTTCATTGTTTTAAAAGTTGTATCTGTTGTTATGTGATGATGACCTTACAGCATTTTTATTCCTTAATTAATTTTTAACTTAATATTGTACAAATATTCCACCAACTTCAACTTGGAAGGGATTTTCATTTCTAAGTAATCATTTTTCTCACATAAGAAATAGTAAATATTTGCCAGCACATATAAAATTAACACATGTCACATGATATATTTTATATTCATATTGTCTCAAAAATATTCTTTTTACTAGCAAGTGTTATAAGGATGATGCTTGCTTTTTAAGTTTATAGGTCGTTCCAGGGAAAGTCTGTGATGTTTAATAGTATCTAAAAGAATCCAGTGAGGAAAACAAAGGTTAAAATGGATCTTCAATGTCTCTTCATTAATTTAATTCTCTTGGGATATAGAAAATTCTGGGAAAGTCTGTGAAATGAAAGGTTTCGCTATTTTCAGGTGGTGATTAATATGCCACAGTAGTCCTAAAGCAGTTTTTCTCAACTTGCTGTTTCCCAAAATCAGAATAAATGAGTAGCCTGAAGGAAAAAGAGTTGATAATAATATGACAACCAAATTGACCTGAGAATTCTGCAGCAAAACAAAAACCCAACTTGTTAATAGGATGGAAGAAAAATGAACTGTGGAGAGAAAAAGGAAAGACATCACCATTTTCATGGCCCTTTTATGGGCCTCTGTATTGAAGTCCCTAGAGCAGTTCTGCTGCACATTCCTGGTTTGTCGCCTCAGGGAAAGAAACAAAAGGAGCAGGGAGGCCAGGGACAGAAGAAAGGGGATTAAGTAGATGAAACTGAAAACAATCAAGCTGTTAAGATACAGTTTTACTTACATTTAGGGACCAAGTTGAGTTTCTTTCGTATCTTTGATAGACATTAACCAAGAAATTACTAGATGTATGGATTAATTCAAAGTTGCAAAGCAATAAGAGTAAAGACCCCAGGGGAAGCAGGAGTAGCACTCTGCTAATTCTCCTCCTCAGCCAGGTGAAAGAGGAGTGGGAGAAATTGGCTATTTTAAAGAAGTAGAAAACACTTAGACAGGTGGCAAACCAAGTAGCTAGGTGATTGCTCAGTGTCCAAAAACTATTAACGAGTTTTGCTATGTTATCAATGGTATAAAGATGCGGCCACACCACCATTAAATATGAATCTAACAGTATTATGCAAAGAAGAACGATTCTGGAGATAGCCAGGCTGGTGAGAATGCAGTCAGCTGATGAGAGCTTTTGACCCTTCACCCAGTCAATGCAGTTAACTAGTACAATGCAACTGTTCCCTAACATTCCAGTTAGGAATCCTCCTGTGGCTGCTATCAGAAAAGCATTTTCAATTCCAGATGGCATTTCTGTAGAAAGAATCCAGAAAGTTGATCCTATATCTCGGAATTTTTGGTTGTCAAAATGTTGTGGAATAAAATCAAGTCTGATACTTTTCACTTTTATATGAAAAAGGCTCAGATACTGTCTCACTTAACTTCCCGAAAGATCCTTCTCTTATTCCAGCTGTGGCTCTGAAGTATACACAAGGAGATCCACTCTCACAGATTTAAATGAAAAACTTTAACATAACTTCCAATGAGCAACTGATTTCCAAATTAAACAGTAAATGTCCCCACTCATCATTGGCACTGACTGTAGTTTTCCACTTGTGAGGACATCCGGAAGAATAAAGTCCAATATGCAAATATGAGACAGATTTCTTTACACTGATTTGCACTTTCCTTTTCACCTGAAAATGCCATTTGGATCCAGGTTTCTAAATTTTAATAGCATTGTCTAAAAATAAACCTCTAATACAGGCATTATTCATTAATTCCATTCAATGAAATCCATAATAGTTCAAATACTATTGTGGATGAAATAAGAGAAGCAACATTAAGGAGCTCACAGAGTATTAGAAAAAGCAACATTAAGTAAACTATGACTATAGAATGTGACAAAAGTTTGACCGCAATGCAACTGCAACTAAGAGGAGAGTCCCACAAAAGTCAACATTCTTCTACATTGTTCTTCTACAACTTCTACAGTCAATAGTTCATTCTGGTTTTATAACGAGAGTGACAACTGGCTTGGATCTTGAAGCTTCTTAGGATTTCTTGAAGAAATAGATACAAAGGAAATTGTTTTCCAGAATGATATAAAAGCGTATGCCAAGGCACCAAAATATTGGAGCTATTACTTTGGGTTTTTGAGCTTTGTTCTCAATAAGTTACTGCCTATTTAATTCTGAATAAGCTCTTGTCAGCTGAGAGGGAAAATATAGTAGGGAAAAAACCTGAAGGGGTAGGGGAGTAGGAAGGAGGATCTCCTTTTCATTAATTCTGCTTTTGGTTAAAGACTTCATCCCATCAAAAATTGTTACAGTAAAATAAAGTTTGTTTTTTTGTTTTGACAAACATGTAACTTTAATACAATGATCTTTCAGTCTTGACGGCAAGGTTATCCCTCTTTTCTAGAGAACTCTAGGTATATACATGTGTGTATATATATATATACATACACATTAATTATTAATTAATTATTAATATAGTAATAATATATATTGATGCCTATGAGCCAACCCCAGGGATTCTGACTTAATTGGTCTGGCATATATTGTAGACACTCATTAAAAATTCCTTGATATATGCCTTAAAGGACCTTCTAAATCCAGACAAAACTCTTTGTACCCACAAGCATAAATCTATGAAGATTCTCCAGGTATTAGACAGGAATTTTGCCCACTTGCCCTCTGACGATGCATTCCCCGTTCAGCCAATTTTGACCCTGGCAATAAATTACCTGTTTTGTATTGGTCTCAGACTATCAGTGGTGATGCTCTAGCTTACCAGTGCGCGAGGCTGTCACCTGGGCCCTCACTACTCATGTGGGCCCCCACAGACTTGTCCCCACCAGAGCCCCACACAGCCGAGGTGTGGCTGTGGTAGAGTAGGCACTTAGCTGGGTGTCATCAGGATGCCTCAAGGCCAACAAAGGGGGAGTCAAGGCCCATTATCAGGAAAGTTAACAACCTGTCCTGGCAGAATTGCACAAACAAAGCTACAACAAGCCATATCAAACCCAACAGGCCCAAGACCAAGAAGGCCAGGGGCCCTCACAAATATGGGAGAAAAGGTGCAGAACCCTGCTCCCCCCCAAAAAATTCCCTCCCCAAATAATGAATAATGCACCCCTTAGCTAACACTGTCAATGAAAGATAGAGACCCACACCCAGGGCACAGCTCTCCCTTGAGCTGGCGCACTCTCTAGTTCAAGAGTGTACCCTCTCTCTTTAATAAACTCTTCACTTGCACTTCTCAACCCTGTCCTTAAATTCTTTACTTCTGATGAAAGTGAGAGCTTCTGGGCAGATGGATGGTCTTCGCCCAGGAGCAGTTGGATTGACACTCTTCCTCGTTCTTACTATGATTTACCTCAGCAACAACCATCAGGGAATATAAAAAAAAAAAAACCAAAACGGGGTTTAGGGGCACCTTGGTGGCTCAGCTAAGCTTCTGCCTTTGGCTCAGGTCATGATCCTGGGATCCTGGGATCCAGCCAGGCATCGAGCTCCCTGCTCAGTGGGGGAGACTGCTTCTTCCTCTCCCCCTGCAAACCGCCCCCATTCCCACCCTCTCCTGCTCCTCTCGTGCTCATACTCTCTCTCTCTCTTAAATAAATAAATAAAATCTTTTTTAAAAGAAAAAGGAAAAACAAGGTTTATTATTCACAAGTCCTGGAGGATGCATGGAACGAGCCTAGGACCACATAGGGAAGTCATGGGGAGCTGAGAGGAGCACAGACCTGGTGTTCTGTTTTTATTTACATTGGGAGTGGGTGCCTAGGATTTTACAAGCTCATACTTTACTCGCAAATTTATTTTATTTTTAAAATCTTATTTATTTGAGAGAGGGACAGCTAGAGCACACGCATGAGCAGGGGGAGGGGCAGAAAGAGAACGAGGCTCCCCTCTGAGCAGGGAGCCCAATGCAGGAATCCATCCGAGGACCCTGGGATCATGACCTGAGCCAAAGGCAGACACTTAACCAACTGAGACACCCAGGCACCCCTTTAGTGGTGAATTTAAAACATAACATTGTTAACTAGGACTTGGGAAGGGAAAAGTGGGGTCATGCAAGCAGTCAGTTATCTAGGTTACTCAGGGCTCTCTAAAAGGGGAACTTCATGGGTGGGAGTGGCCTGGCTTCTTAACCCGATGTTCTCCTGGAAGCTGTGTACGCAGCTCGCAGTATGTTTGTTCAAGACAGATGTCTCTTAAATGGATATCTTGGCAATCAAAAACTTTTTACTTCGGGCATGTACACCACATAATCTTAGCTAACATATACCTCTCTGATGACCTTAAGCTCCGTGAGAGAAAGGACTGTTTTGTTGTCAACTGATCTATTCCAATTCCTGGAACACGGAGGGCCTGGCAAATAGTAGGCCCTCACTAACTATTTGTTAGGTGAATGAATGCTGACTTGGTATTAACCCTATTGGGAGCACAGAAAAAGGGAAAATGAGTAAGACTTGACTGTGAAACTAGTAGAAGAACAAGAAAAGAAAGCAACTCTTTAAAACTGGGGAAAATGTCATGAGATATGAACCCATGCACAATTTCTGTTACTAACCCTTAAATAACACTGCTCTCCAGCCATCCTGGCTCAAACCAGAAGTCATACAGAGTCCTAAATCCTTGCAGGAGGTGGGGGCCTTTGACCTTCTCTTCATGAAAGAGACTACTTCCAGTGGAGGGAGTTGGAGATGGATTGAAAACTCTGTATTTGGTGGCAGGAAACCAAGAAGACTATAGAGATCACTGATGTTTTCAGAAATGCTCTGGCTGGTGTAGAAGGCTAACTGACAGTAGGGTTCCATTGGTAGACATGGTTCAGCAGGGACAGAACCCACGTAGCAACAAGTCAGCCAATAGACGCTTAGTCATTACAGAATACTCGAGTTCATAGTTACACTGAAGAAGAGACGCAATCAAAAGGATTTAAAAACAAGGATAAAAATCACAAGTGCTATATGCTATGAGTGGAATTCAAAGTCCAGGCTCCCATTTCTAAAAACCTGCATAACTACAAATTTGTCTCTGCTCCTGGGTTGAACTGCCTTAATATTCTTCATTCTTAAAATGGTTGCATCATACGCCATAAAGAAAAAGTCTTGTTGTATATGTAAATATAAGGGATATCATTCCAAAATGTTTGGGCAGATAACAATCAAATTTATGTAAATGCTGCAGGGACAATCCAAAATACCTAGTCTAAACTTCCAAAGATGAACACAATTTAAATCAGAAAATCTATGAATATTGATTTTATAATTATCAGTTGAAAAAGTGACATTTCTCCTAAGGAGAAAATACACTCAGAAACCTACTTTGGCCTAAGTCAAATGGGAGTACTACTTATATAGTGATGAACTACTGCTTACGTGAATGTAAATACAGATGATACAACTGAATGTTTTTGGACTTCTGTCATTTGGCTTGATTTCTCCCTGTTCCATCCCTGTGTCTGTGACCTCTCCGGTGGGGGACGGGGGCGGGGGGGGGGGGGGGAACATACCTAGGTTTTCAGTTTGGCTCTTTCCAAGGCCTTTCCCTCCCCATGGCTATAGGTTTACATCCCCTAATAGCCTCAGGGAAGGCAGCAACATATGTTCCCCTAGCTGTGATGCTCTCTTGTAGACTTTTGTTTCACTTAGCATACGCCTTTAATTTTCAAAACTGAAGACTATAGGCTTTGTTTGCTTGAGTGTTTGTTTGTTTGTTTGTTTTCCCTCAAAATCCTTAGAGGGCAGATATCCCCAATGGCTCTTCCTCACGACAAACCTAAGACAGGGCCAGTGTAATTAACCTCCGCAGAAGCAAACACTGGTCTCATGCTTAAAGTAAGACTGGCTGGGCATTTCTATAGTCTTCTGAGGCTGCATTTATATTGATGGGGGGACAGAAGGTAAAATTTAAAAAGCCGTAGTCTATGATACAGGATTTAGTGGACAAGGGACAAAAATGTTCACCTGTATATGTTTTTCAAATTCTTCAAACTTTGCAAATCAATTTGTTCTTGTGAAGATTGGTCTTAAGGTTCTGAATGGGACATAGATAACTCTAGACAACATATTTAGGGTCTCGAATGACAGAATTGCAACAGACTGTGTGATGGTGCTAATGTCCTATAAAAAGTGTTCCTGGCTCAGAGGAGATGGGGTCTAATCAAGATATTGCTAGGAGAAGCCACCTACTGACAACAGACAAACCACCTGAGACACTGAGGAAATTCATGTGCCTTTCTCTGAGATCTACCTGACAGACACATTCACTAGAGTTCAAGAAAAATGTCTTGCTGTGC